ACATAATATACATATATGCATCCATATATATATATATATATACATATACACCTATGATATATATATATATGTATATACACCTATATATATGCATAGAAAATGTATGAATTTAAATGCGGATGCATGCAGAGCGTGGACAGCTGGAGAGAGAAACACAGAAAAGCAATCAGCAAAAACCCTAAACCCTAAGCCCTAAACCCTAGGACCCCCTCTGAACCCACACATTAAACCCTTGAAAACAGCAGCAGCAGCAGCAAAGCAGAGACATATCTGCACATGTCTGCAGGCGAGCAGGAGGCAACCCCCCCAACCCCAAACCCTAAACCGTAAACCCTAAACCCCACACCCCAAACCCTAAACCCTAAACCCTAAACCCTCAGGCGATTGTACCTGTTTAAACACATTAGGAAAACGAAGAGGCAGCTCAACATATTCCCGAAGCAGCTGCACTTCCTTCTTGAGGCCCCCTAAGTCGTCATAGGTCACCTCGCTAGCAGAATCAAACGCCTCTGCATGCAAACCCTAAACCCTAAACCCTAAACCCTAAACCCTAAACCCTAAACCCTAAGCCGTATCTATTGAGGCTAATTTTCTTAATTGTAAGCCATAAAACGCACGCCCTAAACCCTAAACCCTAAATAACAAATGCTAGGCGCTGAACCATTAACCCTAAACACTTAACGCTAAACCCTAAACCCCAAAACCCTAACTCTAAACCCTAAACCCTCAAAAGAGAGAAGAGCTGGGGAGAAAGACACCGCGAAGCATCTTTCTCTCAGAGAGAAAGAACAGCAACAGCAGCAGCAACAGCAGCAGCAACAGCAGCAGCAACAGCAGCAGCAACAGCAGCAGCAACAGCAGCAAAAGGAAGAATATTTCGGGTGTCTGCTCACCTCTATCTAGGCCATCTTCTCCGATTATTTTTGTTGTTTGTTCCCCCACCAACCCAAATTCTAAATCGTGTTTATTTTCTCCATCTATCCGCATTATCTTTATTTCTATTTCTTCTTGCAAACCCTGGGGGCCCCCAGGGGCCCCCCCCAAGGGGGGCCCCCCAGCATTATTACCACTTCTTTCTTCTCCTCGTCTCCCCTGTACATACACCGGAATTTTATATTGATCACCAACACGGAGGGGTCTAGGACGTGAGTTAAAGAAGCTTTCTATTGCATGCAGCACCGCTTCCCAAGCCTGGGGGCCCCCTGGGGGCCCCCCTTTATCGAGGGGCCCACGGGGGCCCCCCCCTGTTGCGGCTGCTGCTCCTAGGAATGGAAAGCTATCATTAAATATCTGCACGTACACCCGAGAAGCCAATGGTAAAACATCTAAGCGCTCTATAAGAAGAAGGTCACCTTCATATAGCTTAAGCTGCGCATACACCCTGGGGTGTACAGAGACCTCATCTTCCTTCAACTCCTTGTCTTCTATTAAAACCCCAACACTTTTTCTTTTTCTACGCCCCTGCAATACAAGCGGAGCTCCTGGCTGCAGCTGCAGCGCCCTAGCTCTCTTCGGGTGTATATACACCGCAGCAACATCCGAAGAGTGTGGGGCCCCCAAAGTCAATAGATTGGGGGGCCTCTTAATATTACCACCACTACCCGTACCCGATGGGGGCCCCCCAAAGGGGGCCCCTCCAGAGGCCCCCCCCTGGGGGCCCCCCTTTGCTGCTGCTGCTGCTGCTGCTGCGCTTGACCCTGAGCTACCGAAGAGCCCCCCACCTCTGAGGGCCCCCAACCAACGTGGGGTCCCCTGCAAAGAGGGGGCCCCCAGAGACACAGAAGGCAGCAGCAAACTGCTGCTATTAGCTGCTGCTCTTGGGGGAGGAAGTAGAGAAAGAGCCCCCACAGGAGGGGCAAGCAGCAGCAGCAGCTGCTGCTGCAGCAGCAGCAACAGCAACCCCACCCATGAACACACAGATCCACGCAAAGAAAACGTCAGGGGGGGCCCCATGGGGGCCCCCGCGCCTCGTTTTCTATGGAACATGAACAGGCCTCAACAAACCCTAAACCCTAAACCCTAAACCCTAAACCCTAAACCCTAAAGCCTCGGGCTTAAACAATACCAAAGGACGCAGCAAGGCAACTTCAAGCCCGCACACACCCGAGTGTTTTTGCAGCAACAGCTGCAGCAAGAACAGCTGCAGCAGCAGCAGCAGCAGCAGCAGCAGTAGCTGCGGTGTGTGGGGAGTATGATGCCTTGTTTGCCCCCCTTTGCTGCAGTTGTTGAGGGGCCCCTCTTTTTCTGTTTTAATTAATTAAAACAGAAAGGACTAAGACAAAGAGAAAGGGTTTACCTTACAACCACACCGGGGGCCCCCCGTCAATCTGCGTGGGGCCCCCCAGCAACAAGACAAGATAAGGTATGCAGCTCTAAGCCTACTGTAGAGAGGGGGCCCCCTAATAATACTCTTCAAACCCTAAACCCTAAACCCTAAACCCTAAATTCAAGACAAAAAAACACACAAAGAAATACAAAATCTGGGGCCCCCTCCTGCTCTACCTTCACACGCTGCAGGGGGGGCCCCCAGGGGCCTCGGGGCCCCCCCTCCTACCCTTTTATCTTTTTGTTGTTTAGTGAAGACAATTTATTCATGTATAATCTTCTTTTAAATTCTATTTTAAAGGTGGGGGCCCCAGAAGGGTTTAATCATTAGCCTGGGGGGCCCCGAATACACCCCCTACGCCAAACCCTCGACTCGTAGGGGCCCCCTAAACATACTAAAGGGTCCCCAGGGCTTCATGGGGGCCCCTGTCTGCATGCAACAAACAACAGAGGCCCCTGATGCCTCTATCTTTCCCCTCTAGAGGCGTTCTTGGTGGCCGTCTACTCCTCAGGGGGCCCCCCTACAGGGGGGCCCCCAACAAGGGGGCCCCTAACAGGGGGCCGCCTAAAAGGGGGGCCCCCAGCAGGGGGGCCCCCAACAGGGGGTTCTCCAATAGGGGGGCTCCTTTGGGGGCCCTTGTGCTAACTTCCTGTGAATCCTGTTATATTAGAGTACAAAGGTTTTGGGGTGTATGTGCAGGGGCCCCTTGCTTTCAGCCCCAGCTCTCCTTGGGGGCCCCTTTAAATATATCTTCTGCAGTACCCTATTCTGGAGGGCCATTAGGGGCCCTGGGGCCCCCAACAGGGGGCCCCAGCCCTGACAGCAGAATCAACAATGGAGAGGGGCCTCTGGGGGCCCCTGGGGGCCCCTTTGTCGATATAAGGCATCTTGTTGCTGCAGCAGAAGCAGCAGCAGCAAGGGGATGTGCATGTTGTCCTCTATTTTGGGGGCAGACAGCAGCAGCAGCAGCTGCTGCTCGCTTTCAACTCACCTGGGAGGTCGGGGCCCCGGGGGGCCCCCGAGGGGCCCCCCGATTGGAGGCCCCACCCCCTCATGCTGCGCTGCCGCTGCTGCGCCCTCTTCTGAGAGCAACAGCAAGACTCGCTGTAGCCATAAGAGCAGCAGCAGCAGCTGCTGCTGCTCCTGCTGCAGTTGCTGCTGCTCCTGCTGCTGCTCCTACTGCTGCAGTTGCTGCTGCTCCTGCTGCAGTTGCTGCTGCTCCTGCTGCAGCTGCTGCAGCAACAGCTGCTGCATTTCAGGTGCCTGATAGTGTATGTAGAAGCAAAGGTAGCGATCCCTTCTCTAACAACAACGATGGTAGGGGGGCCCCTCTCTGTGATGCATGCAGGGGGCCCCCAGGGGGCCCTAACGGGGCCCCCCAGATGCCTTCTCTGGTAGATCTGCTACTGCTCTGCGACCAGATGCTGCGGGGCCTCCTTGAAGCCCTACGATGTCTCCTTAGGGGCGTCAGCAGGCACACGGGGGGCCCCCAGGGGGCCCTTGTGGGGCCCCCCTTCTCTGTGAGGGAGATCGCAGCAATTGTAGGGATATATGGATGTCTTGCTGCAGCACTGCAGCAGCAGCAACGAATCGAAGCCAGTGAAAGGGGCCCCCTAGAGGGGCCCCTCAGAGGGGCCCCTGAAGCGGTGAGGAGCCCACTGGGCCCCACAGGGGCCCCTTCTACTGTCTGCACTGCAGCTGGAGGGGGCCCCTTGGGGGCCCCCCACAGGGGCCCATCATTGGGGGGGGCCCCCAGCGTAGCGGTGTGGGGCAGGCAGCTGCACGGGGTGTATAGGGAGGTCGTAGGTGCGGTGCTGCTGCATGCATTGGGGGCCTCGCGACGTCCTTGTCTACCTCCAGGGGCCCTTATTAGTGCTGATTCCTTTTGGGGGCCCCTTGATAGGGAGAAGGAGGGATGGGGGGCCCCCACAGGTCTTTCTGCTGCATCAGGTTTGCTGCTGAGGGCCCCTATACCTCTCACCAGTTTGCTGCAGATTCTTGCTGCCTTCCAGCAGCAATCGGAGCAGCGCTCTAGGGGGCCCCCTTGGGGGGCCCCCCAACCAAACCCGGGGGGCCCCACCGCATTACAAGGGCCCCTGCCTTCTATAAGGGCCCCCAGTGCGCTATTGCAGCTTCTAGAAAGGGTTATATGGGAGGCTCAAGGAGACTGGGGGGCCCCCCAGGGGGCCCCCATTTTGAGTGGGCGGTGCAGCTTGCCTCCCCTTGCTGCTGCTGCTGCTGCAGCCCAGCTGCAGCAAAAGCAGCAGCAGCAGCAAGACGAAGCAGCATCAGAAGAAGTTGAAAGATTGGTGTTTGCTGCTACAGTGCTGGCGGAGGCTCGCGCTGAAAGGGGGGCCCCCAAAGGGCCTAAGGGTCCTTTCTTCCTGGTGCGACTCTAGAGTTTAGGGTTTAGGGTTTAGGGTTTATGGTTTATGGTTTAGGGTTTAGGGTCTACGATCTCGGATTAAGGACCTAGGATTCCGGATTAAGGGTTTAGGGTTTAGGGTTTAGGGTTTATATTTCTTCAGGTTTAAGGTTTAGGGTTTAGGGTTTAGGGTTTAGGGTTTTATGGGTTTGTTTTCAGGCTTTGTCTCTTATTAGCGAAGCTCTTCTTCAGCGTATTGATGCCTTCCTAACAACAACACCTAGGGCTCTTGCTGCTGCTTCCCAGGGTTGTGGTGGGGGCCCCCGTGCAGCAAACCCTTTGGGGGGCCCCCCTGCTCCTCTTATTTCAGAGGCATCACTTCGTTGTCTGCTTCCTAGGGTTCCTCTGGGGCCCCCAGGGGCCCCCGGTGCTGCAGCAATTTGTTTGCTGCCTCTGTTGCTGCTGCAGTCTTTCGCATATAGCAGCTTCTCTCACGACGGCCTCATAGCTGCCTTATGCTATTATTTAATGAAGCCTTTAAGGGGGGCCCCCGCAGTACCCTCTTCTTTGAATAGGGGGGCCCCCAGAGGGGCAGAAGTAGGGGGCCCCTTGACTGTAAAGGGTTTATCTGGGGGGCCCCCTGCTGCAGTAACACCAGAAGGGGGGGGCCCCCACTTCTTTTGTTTATTAGATCTGTGGCCTTCACCTGCTTTGTGCTGTCTTGCAAATACTTTGCATGCATTGGGGGCCCCCCAGCCTTCTTTTTTTCGTTATCTCTTCACTCATTACTTTCCTCCAGGGGGGCCCCCCACCAAACAAAGGGGGCCCCGTTCACACTGCAGCAGCAGCAGCAGATCCAGAAATTGCAGCAGCAAAAACAGCAGCAGGTCTTTATGCAGCAGCAAAACCAGCAGCAGAGGCTGCCGCAGCCGCAGCATCTTCTCTGCCCCCACAGCTGCAGCAGCAGCAGCAGCAACAGCAGCAGCAGCACAAAAGGAGATGGCTGATGCTGCAGCAGCAGCAGGGGGGCTTGATGCTTCTGAAATAGAGGATCAGGGGGCCCCCTGGGGGCCCCTCTTAGATGCTTGGGGTGGTTCGGTAGGATGGGCGTTGGGGGCCCCCCAGAGGAAGCGGCATCTATTACGTTTGCTGCTGCAGCAGGGCCCCCCCCATCTGAGGGGCCCCCAGGTGTATACGCAGCTTCATATTCGGGGGTTTGACCGCTGCAGCAGACGGGAGCTGCTGCAGCTGCTGCTGGCAACAGCAACTTCAGGGGCCCCCCCTCCGAGTCCTCAATGGCTGCAGTACCTTGCACTGCTGCTGCAGCAGCAGCAGCAGAAAGCTTTGCTGCTGCAGCAGCAGCACGAAGGGAACGGCCTCACCAGTCAAACTGCAGCAGCACGAGCCGCAACAGCAGCAGCAGCAGGAACCAACGCAGCCGCCTCAGGAGCAGCAGCGAGCGTAGGAAACACACCACTCACTGTAGCAGCAGCAGCAACAGCAACAGCAACAGCAACAGCAACAGCAGCAGCAGCAGCAGCTAGTGATGATGAAGCTGAGGACTTAGCAATGCTCGGCTTTGCGTTGCCGTATTTGCCGCCTCTCACGTTCCTCCCAGCCCTCTGGCCTACTCCAAAACAATACAGGGGGCCCCCTACTGTTGCAGTGGGGGCCCCTCAGGGGCCCTTAGAGGAGGGGGGGCCCACCCAGGGGCCCCTAGGGAAGTGGGGGGCCCCTCAGTGGCCCCTAGGGAAGGAAGGGGCCCCCCAGGGGCCCCTTGAGGAGCGGGGGTCCCCAAAGGGGCCCCCATCTCTAGGGGCCCCTGAAGAGCCCCTAGAGATGGGGGGCCCCCAAGGGCCCCAGGAAGGAAGGGGGCCTCAAGGGTTTATAGAAGAGGGGGCCCCCAAGGGGCCTCTTATAAGACAGGACCCTGAAGGACCCCAGGAGTGGGGGGGCCCCCAAGGGCCCCTAGAGAGTGGGGCCCCCTCAGGGGCCCCCTATGAGATTTACTCTCTGCCTGTTTTGGGGGCCCTTAACATCAACTCCCTGGAGAAGGTTCCTCTTGTAGCTCTTCAAAGTCTCCTTTTGGGGCTGGTGCTGCATGCGCCCCCTATCCAGCAGCAGCAGCAGCAGCACCAGCAGCAGCAAGGCAGGACAACGCCCAGCAGCAGCAGCAGCAGCAGCAGGAGCTGTATCTTGGGAGCTAAGAAAGGGCCTTGCATGCACTGGGAGCCCCTTCGTCTCGTTGCTGCTGCTGTTGAGGAGACAGCTGGTGGTTTATTGTCTCTTTGGCAGCAGCAATTCTCGCCGCAGCACTTAAGAGGGGCCCCCCTTGCTGCAGCATTCGGTATCTGCTGCAGCAGGGCCCAGGACCCTATAGGGGCCCCCAACTTAGAAGGGGGGGCCCCCAAGGGGCCCCCTTTGAAGGCCTTCACTGGTATGGGGGCGGCGCGGCTCTGCAGGCAGTCGTTTACTGCTGCTTTGTCTATGGCGCTGCTCGCAAGGGTGCTTCCTTTACCTGCAGCAGCAGCAGCAGCAGCAGGTGGAGCAGCAGCGGGTGCAGCAAATGGTGATGGAGAGGGAGAAAATGAGCAGCAACAGCAGCAGGTAGTGCAGCAGCAGCAGCACCTGCAGCAAGGAGTTCAGGGCCGTCGGCGGCGGCTGCTGCTGCTCAGGCAAGGACCCCCTGCTGCTTATCTGTCTCCTTCCTGTATGCTGCAGCTGCTGCCGCTGCGCACCTTGCGTCATTTGCTGCTGCTGCTGCTGCTATCTGCAGACCCCTCCCTTTGGGGGTCCCCGGAGGGGCCCCTTGTGCAGCAGATGGAGCTCGTTCTGCTGCAGCTGCAGCAGCAGCAGCAGATCTCCCTGCAGCAAACAGGGTTTTCCCTCATACCAACGCTAATGGAGAGTCCAGCAGCAGCAGCAGCAGCAGCAGCAGCAGCAGCAGCAGCAGCAAAAGAATCGTACCTGCCGGCGCAGCAACGACTGGAGCCCGGGACAGCTTTGGCAGGCCTTTTGCGCTCGATGCAGCAGCAGCAGCAGCAGCAGGTGCAGCAGCAGCCGCAGCAGCAGGTGCAGCAGCAGCAACTGCAGCAGCAGCACTTGCGGCAGCAGCAACTGCAGCAACAGAATTTAGGGGGGGGCCCTTCGTCTTCGCAGTTCCAGCGCGAAGTAGCAGCAGCTCTACAGGGCCTCAGCAGCAGCAGCAGCAGCAACAACAACAACAACATGCTTCGTGAGGTTGCTGTGGGGCCCTACTACATTGATATTGTCTTAGAGGCCCCCGAAACCCTGTCGGGCAAACCCTAAACCCTAAACCCTAAACCCTAAACCTTGGCTGAGGCGCTGCAGAACCTTCTAGGGTTTACAGGCATTTGTTTAAAGGGGCCCCCAAACAAACTGCGGGGGCCCCCCTCGCCCCGCAGCAAGAAAAGAATTGAAGTATACGTACAATATAAATTCTACTTTTTAATGCATTTTGTATATATATATATATATAGATGCATATATATGTATGCATATATATATATATGTGAAACATGCATATATATATATATATATATGTATGCATATATATATATATATATGCATATATACATATATAGGTAGGTAGGTAGATAGGTAGATCTATAGATATATAGACAGATACGCATATATATATGATATATATATATATATATGATATATATATATATATATGTATCATATATATATATATCATATATATATATATGTTATATACATACAACGCCTATATGTATATTAATGCAGATTATATTTGCATATAATGCCCACCTATGTCATATCTATTCTGCACTTTGTTAACATATATATATATATATATATATATATACATATATATATATATATATACATATATATGTATATATATTATATATATGTTAAGCCTCTCTCTCTGCCTCTCTCTCTGTCTCTCTCTCTGTCTCTCTCTCTCTCTCTCTCTCTCTCTATATATATATATATATATATGCTAAGCCTCTCTCTCTGTCTCTCTCTCTGTCTCTCTCTCTGTCTCTCTCTCTCTCTCTCTATATATATATATATACATATATATATATATGTGTTATGCCTCTCTCTCTCTCTCTCTCTCTATATATATATATATATATACATCAGTGGCTGGGAAGACAAGGAGAGGAAGACAGCAGAACTGAAAACGCCTTTTGCGGCCCCTCTTGGGGTTTTATCAAACAACTCAAAAGCAGTCTTCTAAAGTGCGGTATTATTTAGGGTTTAGGGTTTAGGGTTTAGGGTTTAGCGGAAGGGGGGGAGGGCCTCTGCTGCAGCTTTGGGGGCCCCCCAGCCTTGAATGCACGTAAGGCTTTAAAATGCAAGCACAATGGGCCACAAGGGTGTTGCCTGCTGTTGCTGCTGCTGCTGCTGCTGTTGCTGCTGTTGCTGCTGCTGCTGCTGCTGCTGCTGTTGCAGCAGCTTATAAGAAGGCAGCAGCAACGCTGCACCTGCTGCAGCCGTCTGCATCTCTACGGGTAGCGGAGGAAGGAGGGGCCCCCCTTTGGGGCCCCCTTGACAGGAGGGCCCCCAATAAGCCTTCATCTCCAGCAAATACCCCACCACTTAATGAGAAGGGAGGGGGGGGGGCCCTCGATGAACTAAAGCTAAGTAGGGGCCCCAAGTTAGTATTAGGGGGGCCCCCCTGATGCTCTAACCCGACGCTCGGCCGAGTGAGATTTACTTTAGGTACGGTACCCTCATGGGGGCCCCCTAAAGGGGGCCCCTCAGGGCCCCCCCCATGGAGGGGCCTCTCAGGGGGCCCTCTTAGGAGGGGCCTCTCAGGGGGCCCCTCAATAAGGGGCCTCTCACGGGGCCCCCCAAGTAGGGGCCTCTCAGGGGGCCCCCCAAGTAGGGGCCTCTCAGGGGTGGGCCCCCCAAGGAGGGGGGCCCCTTCTGGGGGCCCCTCAGAGGGGGGCCCCCTAAATAAGCGTACTGTTCTAAAGGGTAATGGGCGTGCAGTGTTGGGGAGAGAGAAAGAGCCTCCGCCTGAAGATAGAGGGAGACAAAAAGTATCAACAGCCGATCCAAGAGCAGCAAAGGGGCCCTTGGGTTGGGGGCCCCTTGAAGGAGACAGCAATGAACTAGCTGGAGAAGATCCTGCTGCTGTTGTTATCGTTGTTCCTGCTGCTCCTCCTGCTGCTGCTCCTCCTGCTGCTGCTGCTGCTGCTGTTGCTGCTGCTGCTGCTGCTGCTGTTGCTGCTGCTGCTGCTGCTGCTGTTGCACCTACGAATGGGGGAGAGGAGGCCGGGGGCCCCTCCTCTTCCTCAGATGATGATTGCGGGGGACCGCTGCAGGGCCCCCTCCCCCACCTCGGGCTGTCAACAGCAGCAGCAACACCAGCAGCAGCAGCAGCAGCAGCAGGGGCGGCATCCTCAGCTATGCCTCTCAGCAGATCGCTGGGGCCCCCCTCAGTGCTACTGGAGTTTATGTTCGAAGCATTATAAAGTAGGGGGGCCCCTTGAGGTTCTGGTAGCAACGGGTTTGTATTTTCATTAGAGAGGGGGCCCCCCCTTCCCGAGGCCCCTGCTGCTGGGGGCCCCCTCCTAGGGGCCCCTTCTCCTGCTGCTTGTACTGCAGCAGGATGATGATGGTTTGTTAGAAGCATTTCATGCTCTATTGTCTCTGCAGCAAGTCGGGGGGCCCCCCAGCTAAAGCTGCTGGTAGAAGAGGCTGTAGAAGGGGTCCTTGAAGAGGGGCCCCCTGGTGAGGGGGGCCCCCCTACCCAATCACTTGAAGCTGCTGAATCAGAAGACGCTCGGCTTGCCAGGGAGGAGCTTCTGCTGCTGCTGGGGGGCCCCAGGGCCCCTAATACCTCAGCCCAGGGGCCCCCTCCATCGACAGAAGGGGGGCCCCCCTCACTTGAGTTAGCAAATCGTTGCCATGCTCCTTCACCTGCTGCTGCTGCTGCTGCTGCTGCTGCTGCTGATTCTGCTGCTGCTGCAGGAGCAGGTTCGGTCAAGGAGCATGCAGACGGCGCATCGAGCCAAGGAGACACCCCAGGTTCCTCTGCTTCTGCTTCTGCTGCTGCTGCTGCTGCTGCTGCTGCTGCTGCTGGTTCATCCAATGAGCTGTGGGGGAGGGGCCCCTCGAGGGGCCCCTCGGAAGCCGAAGGGTTTGCTGAAGGAGAGGGAGACCCCCCAACACTGGCAGGTGAAGACAGCAGCAACCCGCTGCCTAAAGGTGCTTGTGCTGCTGTTTCTGCTGCTGCTGCTGCTGCTGCTGCTGCTGCTGCTGGTTGCTGCCTAACAGGAGGCAGCCTGCGCATGTAGGGGCTTAAAGGGGCCCTCGGGAGGCCCCCAAATTCGCTAACGAGGGGCCCCTCGCTTTCTATCAAAGGTGAATCTCTATGGGTGTCTCGAATGCTGCTGCTGCTGCTGTTGCTGCTGCTACTGCTTCTCCTCCTTCTGCTGCTGCTGTTGCTGGTGGCGTGTGTACGCGGCGCTTCCTGCTGCTGCTGCTGTTGCTGTTGCTTCAGCTGCTGCTGCAGGGGCTCCTGCGGTAGAGCAGCAAGAGCTCCTATTTGCTGCAGCAGCAACTGTGTCTCCTCTGGCAGCCTGTTAAAGGCCCGCAGCAGCAACTGGGGTCTCATATAAGCAGCACTTTGTTTTATTGCTGCTGCTGCTTCCGGCTGCAGCAAACTGATGGCGTCAATCACACTAAAGTCCAAAGCCTCTGCAAACGTAGCACATAAACATTCATACATGCATGCAGCAGCAGCAGCAGCAGCAGCAACAGCAAGAGCAGCAGCAGCAACCAAAACAGCAGCAGCAACTAATAAGCTGTCAAACCCTAATAAACCCTCATAAACCGTAATGAACTTTAATAAACTTTAATAAACCCTAATAAACCCTAATAAACTTTAATAAACCCTAATAAACTTTAATAAACCCTAATAAACTTTAATAAACCCTACTAAACCCTACTAAACCCTAATAAACCCTAATAAACCCTACTAAACCCTACTACACCCTACTAAACCCTACTAAACCCCAACAAATCGTCAAACCCTAATAAACCCTAATAAACCCTAATAAACCCTACTAAACCCTAATAAGGCGTTACCTGCAATGCGAATGGCTGTAGAAGGGCCGATGCGAGCTGCGCCTGCAGCAGGAGAAGAAGGGTTCGTCGAACAAACTTTGAACTGCAGACCTCCAGCAGCAAATATATCTCCAGCAGCAAACAAGCGGCAGCGGGTTGAGGGGTTTGAAAGAAAGGGGGAGAGAGAGCACTTCCATATTGACTCCACAGACATTAAGCCTCCTCTACATCTTCCTGCTGCTGCTGCTGCTGCTGCTGCTGCTGCTGCTGCTGCTGCTGCTGCTGGTGATGCTGGTGATGCTGGTGATGCTGCTGATGGTGGTGATGCTGGGGGTTCGTCTTCTTCGTTAACTAATAATTCTTCTCCTACAGCTGTTGCTGTTCCTATTGCTGTTGCTGCTCCTGCTGCTGCTGCTGCGCTGGCTGCGTCTTCAGCATCAGCATCATCATCATCATCATCATCAGCAGCAGCAGCAGCAGCAGCAGCAGCAGGGCTGCCTAGGAGCTGCTTGAAGGGAGAGATAACAACACAGTCAAATTCGCCGTATGGGTCCACGCACAAATTAATCTCCTGCAAACAAAAACAAGAAAAAACAAAGCTGCACATACCTTATGTACAGCAAACAGCAGCAGCAGCAGCAGCAGCAGCAGCAACAGCTATATCAGCAGTATCAATAGCTGCACTAGCAACAGCAGCATTAGTAACAGCACTACTAGCAACATTAGCAACAGCAACATTAGCAGAAGCAGCAATAGCAGCACAATTAGGAGCAGCAGCACTAGCAGCAGCCAAAGCAGCAT